TTAATGTCTTGTCAGGTCTTTTCCGGCACAGTCCTGTCAGGGCCTAAGTGAAATTTTTTTTTTTTTTAACTTCTGATTTTCTCTGGCTTCTTGTAAATGTACAAATTTCCCAGAGAATCTTATCCCAGCTTTGTCTTGAGGCCTTAGATGTTCTAATGTACTTCTTTATTCTTATGTACTCTCTTATCCCCAAATGTTTGCAAGCCTGTACTTCTTCTATGGTTTTTGTGAACACTGCTTCCAAACTCAAACTCCAATGATGCCACCATTCTCAACTCTGCTTTCAGAGTCAGGCAAAACAAAAAACTGCATAGTTCACAGAAAGATCTGGATGCTTCAAGCAAGTTCTGCTGGGCTTCTTTCCTTGGGGAACAAATGAACTGGCTCATTTCTTCCCAACTACACATGCCATGGTGGGAAGGTGATGAAACAAGGACAAGAAGAAATGGTACAACATTTTCTACATTTTGAATGTGTCTTTTTCTTGCCTGGGAATTCATTTGGTCATTGCAAATCTCTGATATAACATTAAAAAAATAAACAAACCCAGTCTTTATTTGATGCTTTTATGGGAATGAAAGCCAGGAACTTTCTAGTCTGCTATTTTCCTAATGTCACTTAACAGATCAATTCTTTAAGCAAGACTTTAGGAAAGGAAGTTAGGGTCATTTACAGAATAACCCTTAGGGCATCTTTTGCCACCAGAAGGGCAACTTCTCTAAGGTTCTCCACCGGATCCTATTTTTCTCTTGTACTGTTCTCACTACCTGTGGTACCTCCTTCTTCTATCACTTTAAATATCAACACTATGAAGATGAATCTCAAATTTGTATTTCCAACTGGTACTTTGTTTCAAAAATCATAATTCAGTTGCTTGCCGATAATCCTCCCCTCGCTGACCTGGTGTCACTTAAGCTCAATATATCTAAATCAGATAAAATAATAATTTTCAATACCCAAAGCAACATTTTCTACTTCTCAGGATACACCCTCAGTCTTTCAGTTATCAAGGCTGAATATGTTGGAAGTGGCAGAGATAGTATTTTAAACTTCAGATCTGACTTCAGAGCTTTTGCTCTGTTCTCATTACAAAAGTTAGAAAAATTGTGTGTGTGTCATCTTATTACTATTGATTCTAAATGAGAAACACCTATTTTGGTTTATCACAAATTTTAATATTATTTCCTGAAGTACATAGCTTAGGACAAATTAGTGACTTACACAGTGTAATAGTTCTGTAATACAAAACAAATGTCCAAACAGTAAAATCCAAAGAAATGCTAAAATTAAGCATACATATCTTTCCAAAAATGTTATGGAAAAGAGTTAATTTTATAAAAGATAACAAATGAGATCAAAGTATCATGCAAAGTCAGAATAACTTCCTCATTACACTACAGCTATAATGGCTAATATAGATGTGGTGGGTAATTTGAAATTTATCAAGCTGGACACTTTATTTCAAAATAGGGATAATAGTATTTTGCTTTAGGGATATGGGCGACTCTGCAATCTCCCCACATGAATATGTCTAATGTCCCACTAGAGCACAGGGATTCGACAATGGAGTAGAATTCAGGAAAATAAAAAGATAAGCACTTGCTTAGCTCTTCTGGGCCATTATCTCTTCAAACATATTAAAAAGTTATTCACAAAACATTTAACTATACATCTCTCCTGAAAAGTTATCTTCCTACATCCTAGTCATTTCTTACTTTCAACAAATTTTGAAAAACAACCCAATCAGAAAATGGTCAAATAAACTGACTAGACACTTCTCAAAAGAAGTACAAATGGGCTGGGCCTGGTGCACATGCTTGTAATCCAAACTCTTGGAAAGCTGAGGCAAGAGAATCACTGCAAGTTCAAGGGCGGCCTTGGCTACATAGTGAATTTAAGACCAGCCTGAACTACATAATGAGGCCACGTATTTAAAAAAAA